AGCACTGTTATATGAATACCACAGTTAATTCTTGAGTAACTTACAGCAATTTAAAAAGCAGGAGTTGTTTTTTTTTTTTACAGTGTAGTTGCTTTCAGGAATGCGGTAGTCAATGCAGAAAGAGCATGTATGATGCTGTGGCTACCAGCTCAAGTGGGACCAATTCATATACTTTTTTAGGATAGTAGCTTTAGTTTTTGAAGTTTGCACTAGAAGTGAAATCTAGAAGCACTTGGGGTTTTGACAGCCCTCTCCCACTCTTGGTTTGTTGATTTAAAAAAAATGAACAGTTACATCTTATTTAACTACTGAAGTCACCATTATCCTAGCCAAATTTGAGTAGTGGTCTGTTTAAATGATTCTCCTTTACTGAAAGCTTCAAGAGAGCAAAGGTCTTTTCTCTCTTTGGAGATTGCTCTCATAACTGCCTGCTTGCACACGACATTATTATGCTACTTCAAGAAAAAATGTATCAATGGTCATGGTCAATTACTGCTATATTGCCTGCTTTGTTAATTTTAAGGGTGGGGGTTTTAGTAAAGAGCTTTTATTTTATTTTATTTTATTATATTGAGATGTCAGGATCTAAGTAACTTCATTCTCCTTTTCTAAAAACACTGCTTTAGCATTTGCAATGTCCAAGAATTTTGTCTCCAAGTGATTCTATATCCTTCCTTTTACAGCAGTCTCATTCTACTGCATGGTACTTGCTAGGGAAAAAAAAGGCTGTGACCACAAGGCAGCTGTAAATGGCTGTGATAGTACCATCTTAATATTTTAAGATGGTTGTCATGATAATGTGATGATTTATTTTTTTTCATTGCTCTTACTCTCCCATTCCCTGTTGTCATGTGTCATATCTTACTTGTGATTACTTGTAATATCTCTGAGATTAACTATATCAGCCTATGCATATTTATAATACCTTGAGTTCCACAGAACAAATGCTACCATCTGGACTATGCTGCAATAAAAACAGAATTCAGCTAAATGATGAAATTAATATGTAAATGAAATAAATAGGTTTTGTCATAATTTCTGTTAATAAATGTATTTCAGCAGGGAAGGGGAGAAAACAGGCAGGACTTCTGGTAGCAAATGCAGGTATATGTGCTAACTACTTTGCCTGTGTTGCACAGGTACAACATTTGGTACACCGTCACAAGAAATGAGTAAAAATACACAGCAAACAGTAGAATTTGCAGTACCACCACAGAAAAGAACCAGACAGAACCTAACGGCCTCTCCGATCACAGCTCAAGGTCCTGCTGCATCCAAGCAATCCAGCCTGTGTCATCTGGAGAATTCCCTTACCAAGGAGGTCCTCCCTATTGTGTATACACCAGAATTTTGCAGGAAGCCAGTAGATGGCTTGTCTACAGAGACTGTGGTAAAGAAAACTTTATACCTTGCTGGCCTTCAGGAAGCCAAAGTGTGTGATATAGATACGCCAGTGAAAAACGAGAGTGTTTTGAATACTACATGTGACATAATTCCAGACTGCACCATAGACATGAACTCAACAGTAATTCTCTATGAAGGGACATGTGAAACAACAGAAATGTCTACTGAATCACCTGTGAAGGAGTCACAGCCATGCATCAATAGCATTCTGCACAGGTATTTTCCATTTATAAAGGCAAGGAATATTACCCAAACAATTTAATTCTGTTTGTCTTTACAACTGTATTTTTCCATTTAAGTCAATTTTATTTGTAAACCCAATATTTTGAAAATCAAACCCTCAATTTTAATTGGCATCAGAATAAATTCTACCATTTATTTGAAGTGAGTGGTATGTCTGTGACAACAGATGAAGCTAAAGGCTTATTCTCTCTTACAAGATAGGTACCAAAAAGAAAATACAGTACTTGTGATACGGTTTGTGATGCCTCAGGCAAATTTCTTTCTCTAAGCTTTACTTTTCCTGTCTGTAAAATGGATGCTTTAGCCTCTTTGACATTGAGAAATGCCATTGTTAAAGTTGCCATATATGTGCAAGGTTCTGTAAATCTGCCTCAAGTAATGTTGATATGAATTTCCCATATTGTTTTTCAACTTAACATATGCTTACTTACAGCTGAGAACAGATTTTACAAAAATATAATTCTTTGATTTCAGACTTGAACTCTCTTCCTTAAAAAAAAGAAATCCTACGTCAGTTCTTGAGAAGCCCTCTTATATGGCAATGACTTCTGCTGCTGAGAGAAAAAGAAAAATACCAAGGTAAAATTAAACTCAGTCTTCTATACAAATGAATTTACATTACTTTCTTATGTTCTCACATAAGTTTTGATGTTATATTTCAAATCTGAAAACCTCTTATACCGGTCATATGGACCTACTAAGGAGATGTTCTGGCTCAAATACTTTAAATGATTCAATTTATGGATTTTTACCTGTCATATTTTGAGGAATCACCTTTTTTCTTTTTATCTTTTTCCTAAAGCCAAAATTGAGGCAACCTTTTTTAAATCATGTTATTAGTTGCTTGTTGCTAGACAGTGAGTGGAGCTGCCACCTCATGAGTATTCTAAAGAATATTTCAAGACCCTTGGAACTTGATGATCTTAAGGTCCTTTCCAACCCTAACTCTTCTATGATTCTATGATTCTAAGTTCTATAGATAGATCACAGGGCATGGAAGAAACTTCTTTGGTTTATTAGCATCTTCGAGATAGCAAATCTTCCTAGTATATTATCAGATTTGCCTTATCTAATTTCATGTTCTTGTTCTAGTTGTTACTAATTCTTGTTGTAAACTATTTTCTAGGATTGCTCCTATGATGAGAAAACAGGCAAATCTCATGTTTTAATTTCTTCAAATAAATGATTATTAATTTAGCAAAGTAAATCACCTGATCCCTGAAACTGAGCTGGTTTTCTAGATTCTCTTTAGGCACAGGTATGGGAACTGTTAGAGCCTGATTTACCTGAAGGTAAATGTTCTAAGATAGACTTAAGAAGTACTTTTTTCTAATAGCTGTGGAATGATTTTCAAATTTATGTATGCTTAGATCTTCCTTAGAGATAAAAATACTATCTCTTTCTGCTGTTTTATCTCATTCCTACTGTATCTCAAACACGTATTTCCCTGTTTCCAAGTTAGAATAACACTACAGGAAAATCCCCCAACTTTTATTCTTTTTGTGGAGATTATTTCCTGTGCCTCAGAGTATAAACTGTAAAGCAAAGTTCTTTGGTTTTGGCTAGCAGCTTATGATGAAGAGAACGAATGAAAGCTTCTTGCTCATGAGGGAGGAAAGGAATATGCTTTTCAGATATTGCCTTTCCTTTCTCTTCTTTTCTCCCTCTTTTCTCTCATTCTTTCAATATTCATTCCAGTCATTAATCTCCTACTAGCATTAGAAAAAAATATAAATTCGGCATATTCTCTAAATCACAAGTGTAATTTGAAAAAGTCTGTTGCTAGGACAAGGGATAAGAAGCAAGTCAGTCATAATACAGAGGCTGCTTTTACTAAACAGCATTACGTTCTTATTGGCATATAGTTCTCTTCCAAGAACCATGCATGATTAGAACTTAGGCCTGGGACAAAGCAAGTCTTTGTATTTACCGCTTGCTATATATTTGGGCAGAAAATCATTATAAAGAAAAACAGTGTAAGATAGAGGACTATAAAGTCAGAATAATACAATATTATTAGGGGAATAGGAAAAGCATAGAAACTTGGGACGTAAGTATAATTAGCTTGCTTATGAGGCTGTCTTACAGAGTGGATCTGGGGAAGCTAGCGAGGCAAGTGTGAAATAGTGAGATTAGATATGTTCATAATTTTCACTGTAAATCTGAAGTTCATCACATAAAAGGCTATAAAATATAGATGTTTTGTCTTAATGAATTTGAAGCTTTAGCAACTTTCTCTAGTTTAGCTAAAAAGTATTGGCTGCTATGAAGCCACCCCCTCTAACTGTGTTGGAGGACATAGAGAAGCTATTGTAGCAATGAAAAGTGTTATTTGTTCAATAAACACAGCTTGACCATTTCATGTATTTCATACATGTGTTAAGATTATTTCTTAGTATAATCTGCATGCAGTGACCATCAAACTGGCTTCTGGGGTTTCCAAAAACCTGTAGCATATTGGTCTTCATTTTAAGTAGTAACATTAGTTCTTATGTTAACGGATGAAATGGTCTTGTAGGTTTTTAAAAAGGAAAAAAGGGGATAATATAGGCATCATAAATTAGTATATTTTTTGCATTCTGTTACATCACTTAATATACTTCTAAATTGCAAAGCCTAAACTACTGGAACTGTAGCTTAATCCTTTTGCTGAAAGCAAGCTCTTTTCTGTCTTCTCTTTCCACTTCTACATCAAACGGTGACCTAGGCAGCCTGTGAGATACTGCTTCTGCAAAACACATTCAACGGGAGGTCTTGTTAAGCCACACAGCTTTGCGAGTACCCAAAATGGCAGATAAGTGTCAAAACTCAAATATATGATGCTGTCCTGTAACTGTGTTGGTACAGGAGATCCAGAGTTAAGGTGGATACTCAAGGTTTTGTCAATTTAACAGCATAGGTTGCTGTCATCTATACACTAAGCTGTCAGCTTGAATAGTACATCTGTTCATTAAAAACAAATCTGAATGTCTAACCAGTTATCTAGATCATATCTAATCAAAAGTCAGTGTTACTATAAGCATGTTGGGAAAACCCTTTCTGAAGAGTTAAGGTCTTCCACCAAAAATTATTTGTGTACTTGCTGAGAAATTAGTGAACCCATTTTATCTTTTGCCAAGAGTGGTTTACAGCAAAATAATATCCTCTAATCATTTCCATACCTGTTTTTAACAGCTTGCTTTGTTTTATAGTACTGCACTAATTTGTTTTTACAGATACAGGGTGAGGATATTTTCCCCCAGAGTTTTATTACTTTAATTTTTGAGCTATTTTGGGCTAACCCAATAACAGAGGAAAAATCATTTTAAAGCAATATTTAGGAATTATTTTGCTTCTAACAGATTGCTGATAATGCTATCAGGTGACATTCTGTCCAAGTCTGCTACAATTCCATGGCTTCTCACTGAGGTATATCTTTATTATAACAAAACCAGTTGCAAATAATTTTTTTTCAGTCAATGTGCACAGAGGTCTTCTGTTTACAGCTATCCAAAACCTTCTGTCTTTCCTAGTGCATGGCACACTACATTGCTTGGCACCTGCAGTACATTTTAATGCACTAAATCCTTACAATTTTCCTTTTCTCTCTCCCCATTTGTGTCCTTTTCTATCTTCAGAAATACACTTAATGATCTTCATTAGTGCAGTTTAGAGGAGATCGAAGATTGTTTAAAGTTTTAATCTGCTTCTGTTGTGAAACAATCCAATTGTGTAGCTTTGCACAACAGCATAGGCAATATGCACTTTTACAGCACATAGGTGTTTTTCTGTAAGAACTGATGTGAAGGAGTAAGTACGTATGAATGTGTTGGTTTTCCATTCATGAGAAATGTTGAGTATCTATTAAAATAAACTTCCTAAACAGTGTAAACCTGAAGTGAAGTATTATCTAACCAATAATTACTTGGCAAAGTGCATGCGTAGTTACATCAATTTCTACTACTCAAGACTGGGTTATGAAGTTGCCAAAATCAATTGCTACTCTGGTATTATTGAGAAACCCTGTAATGAAGGACCACATTGTGAGATAGAGAATAATTTTTTTGATTCTTCAAAGTTTAACTGAATGTAAAATACATCTTGCTTTCAATAGCATGCATTTCACTAGAAGAATGAAATATGATCAAATCCCTTAAAGGAAGAGCTGCTTTTTTATTAAATAGCCAAACATTTTCTAATGATTGTACATTTTTCAATACTGCTCTATAATAATATGGATTAATAAAACTTACACCTATTTCTACACTTTATATAGACCACTATGCCCTTTTAATAACATCTCATGCCAGTTAAGGATTAATTATAGGACTTTCTAGGCAGTTAGCAAACTGGATTGCTGAGCCGAGTTATTACATTTTTGCATGTTGAAATTAGGCTCTCAAGGACAAGAAATAGCTATAAAAATTCTCAACATGCTCTGGAAACAACATATTTAGGTAGGCCAGATTCTGCTTATGTTTATTGAATGAGTGTCTCCTATTTGTAATAAATGTTCTTTCTTCACTAGGAATGAAAACAAGGGGCTGGAAGCAAGAACAGGATGTGCCAAGAAAAGGATGTGCAAATAAACCTAGTTAGAAGCTTTTCTCAAGGAAATGTAGCATTTGGTGTTAAATCAAGGACATCAAAAAATCTTTTACTTCATGTTTGTAAGAAAAAAAAAAAATAAGGTTTACTTCTGAGTTCACCCGTATTTCAAGCAGACTGGATGGACAACAAAGAGGACAGGCAGACTTTTACTTCTGTGAATTCTGAAGATGTCTCAGTAATCCACTATTTTTGTAAGAACCACTTCTTGGAAATAAAAGGATTTTGTTAAATTCTAAATTAAAGTGAATTACTTTTTTGTCTCCTGTTAGCTCACGAATGTCTTCAGCATATTAACAAATGAAGAATTTAATTTCAGTATACCTTTTGGCATAATATTTCTGAGCCTTTCCCTGTGTTTGACTAGCAGTTTAATACTTCAGATGATGCAAGTCTGTAAGGGGATCAGTCATACCGTAATTTTTAGATGCTACCTTAAATTGCTACCTACGGTCATTCTTAATTTTCAATGGGAATTTTGTGATACAAGAGTTAAATTCATTTTGTCCTGCTAAATCGCTTTGACTGCGACTTCTTAATGTCAAAATTGTTTTTTCATTTGGAAGCAAGTCAAACAGATGCTAATACTAAAACGCATTCCTGCTTAGCATTAGGATGCCAGTTTATTCTTAGATATGTTCTGATAGATACTACCAGTGTAATACCAAGAGACACAATACTTAAAGTTTTTTTAATTATTATATGTAGATGTTTTTAGCCTTTTTTTAGTCTGTTGGTTGTAAATGTTCCTGTTTTGTTGTTAACTTTTTTTAATTCAGTTGCAAATAGGGTAATTGCCAATTACTTTAAATAAATGTTTAATTTCAATAAGGGATATAATGTCAATTAAACTTCTAGGAAAAAAATTACCTTTTTGCTGCTTCTATCATGAAAAATGCCTACATTAATCTTGACAGGTATCACTAGAAGTATACATAGTTTATATTTTATCTTGTGATCAATGATACTATTCAGAGACAAGGTAGTTATATATAGCTGTATTGAAGCCTTGACAGCCTGCCGATCCTGAGGAGTGTGGTTCTAATGTGTTTGGTCTGTGCAAATGAAAGTGCAGATGCAAATTGCCCCAGACTAAGGAGAACTAGCGGAAGAAGTCCAGTTACTAGTACAGAGGTTTTAATTGCCTGCCTGAAGCAATGAGCTTTCAACCTGTCAGTTAAGCAGCACCAAGTATGCTGCAGAAAAATTTTCTGGCTTGCAGCAATAGTAATGGGTTTAAAAGAGTTTCACAGGTGTTGGTGTTTG